TCTCACTTGCCCTCCCCACAAAGATGGGCTAATTTCTTTCGATCTCTCTAACCTGTTATTTCCCTGGTCTTTTGTTGCACTTTTAAACACTGATACCACAGACTTATTTATAATTTTCTTTGGTTTCCAGAAGCCTGGCCTTTAATAGCACTGACAAAGGCAGCATGTTGCTGTGAAAAAAACATGCCCTTTGTAGTCAGGAAGATGTGTACTCCAATTCTGTCATTGACGCTTTCAACCTCCGTGAAATCAGACAAGCTACAAAAGCTCCCTGACCCTGGCATCCTAACATGCCCTCAGGGCTTGATAGTGAGAGTGGCCCTGTGCAGAAGGGGACCCAGTGTGACACTTGCTAGTAAACAGGTGCTAAGATCGCTCTCCCTTTTCTTCTCTTAAGCTGAAGCTTTCTAACAGTGGAATCAGACTGCCATCCCCTAGTTTCTCTTCTCAACTCCTCACCTTTGCTGCCATCAATGTCCCTGTCCCCAATGGCTACAGCATAAAACTCACATTCCTCTTCTGGGTATGCAGACCACTACACTGGGTACCCCAAACACATTCAAACCTGTCTTCCACCAGCCCCAACAAGCATCCACTGCTCCACTCAGGTAAGTCTCTGCTCTGCCCACCTCCCAAACCCCATGTGCCATGCCCACTTCCAACTCCAGGCCTCAGCTCACGCTCCTTCCATAACCAGAAAGGTCCTTATTTCTCTTGGAGGGTTCAAATACTAAATATCCACCAGGCTGAAGTTCATGTACCATAACCAGTTTAGAACATGCTTGGGATTCAAATCCAAATAATATTCAGCCCATGCCCTCTAGGAATTTAGAGTCTAGTCAAGAAATACAGACATACTGTAAATAAATAACTTGAAGAACTTTTATGACTCCAACTCAGACTCCATTCTAAACCTTGCTTGTGTGGGCCTTTGCCAAATTAACTTCTTCTCTTAAAAATGAATGTATTAGGGGCCAGCCTTGTGGCTGAGTGGTTAAGTTCATGTGCTCCGCTTCGGTGGCCCAGGGTTTCACAGGTTCAGATCCTGGGTGCAGACATGGCACCGCTCATCAGGCCATGCTGAGGCAGCATCCCACACAGCACAACCAGAGCCACTCACAACTAGAATATACAACTATGTACTGGGGGAGCTTTGGGGAGCAGCAGCAGCAGAAGAAAACAAAAGGAAGATTGGCAACAGATGTTAGCTCAGGTGCCAATCTTCAAAAAAAAAATGGATGTAGTAATAGAATCTACTTTATAGAGTTAATGCAAAAATTAAGTAAGATGTGTGTAAAGGGCTTAGCACAGCGTCTGGAAGCAATGAAAAAACAAGTACTCACAAAATGTTAGCTAAAAAGCCTGTGTGTAGCAAGGTTTAGGCACACAGGGTGTCAGTACATCCAAGCACATTCATCTACAATCTCACCGACACTGACCGCTGCCGACTCGCTCTGAGACCTTAAAGACTGAGAAGTGGAAAGAGAGTTGAAGTAGGAGATGCAAAATGTAAGTCAGACAAAGGTGCTCTTTTGCCTAGCTCTCTTCATGGCTCCCGCTGCTCTGTGACTGAGACCAGAGCTCACTCATGATACAGAGGACGGGAATTTGGGGGGTCAGTGTCTGGCCTTGTCATAGGTGAACAGGGGCCATCACGAGTCTTATCTAAGTCATATGGGAAAGGGAGCTTCCTGGCAGTAAGCTGTTTCTGGAACATAGAAGGGTGGGTGAGTTCCTAACCATCGCTGTTTTCCAGGAGCACAGGGCACAGGTAGAGTTCCACACTGTCACTCCTGTACTTGTCTGTCACAGCTCTTAGCCTACTTTGCTACTAAATATTTGTGTGGTTATTGACTGTTTTCTGCCTCCCTCAGTCAACTGCAAGTGCCTGGAGGGGGAGCGAGGTTTCGGCTAAGTATCCCATGCTCGACCTCTAGTGCTGAATCAGGTAATAAATCCTCATAAGTGCCCGTGGAATGCATGAATATGCACTTCCCAACAGCCTCAGCCAGTCCAGGTCAACAGGCATCGCTGTTTCACTGATCACATAGGCCAGCTCTGTCCGCTCAAAATATAAAGGAAGTTGTATGTGCAATTTTAAGTTTCCTAGTAGCTATGTTATGGGTTGAATTGTGTCCCTCCCTCCTCCAATTCCTATATTGTAGCCCTAACCCCAGTACCTCAGAAAGTGATATTATTTGGAAATAGAGTCATTGCAGATGTAATTGGTTAAGATGATGTCACTAGGAGGCCCTAACCAGTATGACTGCTGTCCTTATATAAAGGGGAAATTGGGACACAGAGACAGAGACCCAGGGAGAATGCCATGTGAAGATTGGAGTCATGAGGCCAGAAACCAGGGAACACCACAGAAGCCAGGAGAGAGGCCTGGGACAGATGTTTCCTCATAACCAACCCTGTCGACACCTTGATCTCAGACACCCAGCCTCCAGGTCTGTAAGACAATAAATTCCTGTTTGTTCTAACCTACCCAGTTTGTAGGACTTTGTAATGGCAGCTGTAGCAAACTAATAGACTACACTTAAAAAGCAAAAATAAACAAATGAATTTTATTTGATCCAAAATATTATAGTTTCAATATGTAACGAATATAAAATTATTAGTGAGGTATTTACACTCTTTTTCTCATTCCTAGTCTTCGGAACCTGGTATGTGTTTTACACTTCAGCACATGTCAACTTAGACGCACCCCATTTCAAGTGCTCAGTAGCCACATGTGGGGAGTGGCTTCCGCCTTGGACAGTGATGAACTGAAGGGTCACCTGCCAGAACTCTCAGCTGATGTTCTCACCTAGACATGCATCTTGGGAGGATTCTCTCCCCATCATGCAAAGCTGTTCTTGGTCCGGTTTGGATATAAATTAATTTTATCAGACCCCTGCTGCTTACCACTAGGGTCAGGACCCTACCTTTCTCAGTTTTTTCACTTGTCTTTATAAATCCATGAAGGCAAAATGCAAGATGATATGAGAGAAAAACTGCAGAAGTGCACCATGACCTAGTGGGTCCGTCAGGGGTGCCGGCATCTTCCAAGAGCACCTACTGTGTGCCAGTATTATGCTGGGTGATTGACGCAAAGAGGTGCATGCAGTCCTTACAACATCCTTATTGCACCCATTTCACAGAGGAGCAAAGCAAGGCTCACAGATACCGATATTTGCTTACATCACCCAGCAACCAGTGAGTACCTGGTACCATAAGGAGCTGGACTGACATGTGGGCCTCTAGGGGACCACTTGTCACCTTATCCTCCAAGGGAAACCCCAGTGCTCAATGGTCCATGTGCCTAAAATTCAAATCCCTTTTAATTGTTTTTGTCTGTATTTATTTGCATCCACATCCTAAAATGAAAAACTTAATTTAAAATAAAACATACCCCGTTGGAATAATTTTCTGAATCATAGGAACTGCATCCAGTTTTGAACATATAATTCTTATTACTCAGAAAATAGTGTTGATTTGCTAGAGATAGAAAATGAGTTGAACTTACTCAAAGTGTGACTTGAGCAAATTGTATGAATGCTGCAAGGCTCACGTCATTTATATAATAATAATTACCCACATAAGACTGTTGTGAAAGCTAAAATATGATGATATATTTAAAACAAGTACTACCTAACTGTAAGAATTAAACCATAGCTGTTGCTTTCAAAAAAAAAAAAAAGAAAGAAAATAAATTGAGTTTGTTGTGCTGCAAAATTCTTAAAATGTTAAAAGAAAGTGGGAAAAAAATGGATCCCTGGAGGGGTGTGATTTTCAGCTGCCTGAGGGTCCTGCCACCCACCCAAGGCTGGGAATCTCCTCCACTTCCCAAGGGCTGTCCAGGCTGCTGATCTCCCCACCCCAGGCTCCTAGGCCATCCCCTGGAGGGGGGTATTACCCACACAGGCCTCTGTTAAAAGTCTGGAAAGAGTATAGGAAGGCTGGACTCCCACCTGAGGGCCCAAGGGATTCAGGTGGCGTTCCTGGGATTGAGAATCAAAACACGTGGCAGGACTTTTTAGTCATTTCCCAGGGAGCCTTTCTGGGAGAGGCTGTTTGGAAAGCTAAATCCTATAGTTCCTGGGACTCTGAGATGACCTGGGGGGCCAGAAGTCCTGGGGTTTCCAGATGTGGACAGTGGTGGCAAATCAAGGCTTTGTGGTAGGGACCAGGGATGGATAGGGGGCAGAGCTTGGTAGGTGATCTCTGCTTCCCTGTGTGTCCAGGCCATAGCCCCTTAACTCCCCCAGGACTTTTGGTGTGCCAGGCTGTCCCTCCTGGCTACGCTGGATGGGTTCATCAAGGAAGGGCTTCACTCACTTGCCATGGGCACCGAATTCATGTGAGATCTGTGCCTGCTCAGCTCCAGGAAGGAGTTGAGCCATGAGGAGGCATTCAGGCGCAGGTCTCGCAAGAGCAGAGCTGTATCCCGCCGCACCAGCCCCATCATGCCCAGCGCCTTCTGGTCCGAGTCAGAGTGGTCCTCTGTCTCCCCACCTGTGGAGTTATGTGGGGCTGAGCTTGTCTCTTTTCTTTCTGGACCCCTTCTCAAAGCCCAGAACTCAGGCATCTGTGCTCACACGGACCCAAGAATATCTTTTTTATTTTTTTTGAGGAAGATTAGCCCTGAGCTAACTGCTGCCAATCCTCCTCTTTTCGCTGAGGAAGACTGGCCCTGAGCTAACATCCATGCCCATCTTCCTCTACTTTATATGTGGGATGCCTACCACAGCATGGGGTGTCAAGCAGTGCCATGTCTGCACCCAGGATCCGAACCGGCGAACCCAGGCCGCAGAAGCGGAACGTGCAAACTTAACCACTGCGCCACCAGGCCGGCCCCAAGACCCAAGAATATCTGATCGCTTCAGTAGGATCTCAGATTCCTCTCCTCAGCCCCTCCTCCCTCAGACCCAGGAGACTGGGCTGTAGCCCCTGTCCCTGCAGGCTCCAGGCATCCAAGCACCACCAGGCCCCCAGCTCTGTGGGTGTGGACTTACCAGCATAGGCGCTGACACACTTGGAGAGCACGCTGAGGGGCAGCAGGGGGTCCATGAGGCTCAGGAGGCGGGAAGGAGAGGTGGTAGACTGCAGCATTGTGGCCGGGTAGGCTGCCATGATGCCATCTGGTAATCTGGTATCCCCACTCCATAGGCTGCTGCCCAAAGGGACACGGTGAAGCAGAGGTTCCCGCCTGCACTGTCCCCAGTGAGGCATATCCATTCACCTGTGGAGCCTGGTTTGAAGGAGGGGCTTGGTCACGCCTGGCAGGGAGGAACTTGAGCCCTGGGCCAGGAGCCCTGGGCTCTCAGAGCTGGGGCGTGGGGGCCCAAAGCCCAAGGTCTAGCCAACTGCAATTTCAGAGACTGGTAAACTGAGGGAAAGATTTGGACCCATCTGGAGGACAGTGGTCAGAGGGTCAGGCTGACTTAGGATACAGAGGGGCCCAGAGATCAGGAAGCTCTGGGGAAGCTTGGGAAGCTAGAGATCAGAAGTAAGGAGGGTGGGTGGTGGGAAAGGAGAGATCAAGGGCTCATTTCAGGAGGGAGGGGCATCCGAGGCCAGGAGATGGAAGGCCAGGGGTCAGGCTGACAGCACAGAAGGGCCACAGGCCCTGTGCCCTGAGGTGTGGCCCCACCCTGCTCTGTGCCTCTCAAGATGTCTGAAGTCAGAGGTCAGAGGAGCTAGAAGAACGGGCTGGAGCTGGGCCAGTGCAGGACAGCAGGGATGAAGAAACAGGAGGAGGACAGACAAGGTCAGAGGAGATGGAGAGGTGGAGGGGATGCAGCATCAGGGCTGGAGTGGGGGAGCAGGAGGCAGAAGGAGGAAGTGGTTGAGATGGAAGGTCGGGTGAGCAGAGGGGCAGTGGGGGAAAGCGCTGAGGCAGAGACGGAGGAGTGAGGTAAGGGGTGGGAGGCGAACAGATGGCCGAGGTCTGGGTGGTAGGAGATGGGAGGGGAGGCGAGGGCACGAGAATAAAGCTTGAACCACTAGATGGCTCGCTCCCCCTGCAGTACGACGTGGGGGCTGAAGCAGGCTGGGGCAGGAAGGGGGAACGGGTGGCAGTGAGGGGCTGGGATTAACCGAGGAGGGCGCAGTGCTTGATGGCCCAGCAGTAGGCGTAGAAGCACTCCTCCAGCGCGCGGAGGAAGGGGACCCCGGGGGCCAGGTAGTAGTCGATGGAGAGGATGGGGGCGCCCAGCTCCTGGGCCCAGCTCTTGAGGTAGGGCTGGTGGGATCTGGAAGTCTGGGCCACGAAGCCGCTGCCGTGGACGTGCACCTCCACGGACTGCGGGCAGGGTGCCTGCTGGGGGCGTGGCCGTAGCGCCAGGCTCCGCGGACCCTCGGACTTCACCAGGCTGCTGAGCTCCTCACTGTCTTCACAGGAGACTGCCCGTGCCCCTCAGTTCCCTACCCGCTCCCGGCTGAGGCGGGCTCCGTTTCACTTCTCCGCGGCCCCCATGCGGGGCCAATTCCAGCCTCCAGGCGCCGCCCCGAGGGCCAATCCCTGCTACACTCCACCGCCGGGCGCCCATATCACCCAATCCTGGGCTCGCTCCTCTCTGGGTCCCGCCCCCTGAGCAATCTGGGCCTCACTCCACCGCCGGGTCCCGCCCCCAACCGCTAGGTCCTACGGCCTGGCCACGCCCCCTCAAGCGTATTAAAGGGCCCCAGACCAAAAAAAAAATGCAGCCCTGGAGGCGGCGAAAAGCGTCCTCCGAGCAGGACTAGTGGAGAGTCCCGCGGGGGTCACCCCAGCAGGGAAGCCTAGATGTTCTCACGTGCTGACGCTCAGCATCGCTTCCACTCACCTTCCCACGAAGGGATCCTACAACGCGACCCAGCCCGCCCGCTGGTTTGGGAGAGTGGGGCGCCGCGGAGCCTCCGCTTGGGGGTGGGGGGAGGGCTAGGTCCTGCGGCGATTGAAAGCCGGGGCGGGGCCCCAGCGCTGGAGGCGTGGCTTGCCTGCCAGCCTTTGGAGAAGGAAGCCCTGCCTCTACTCCCCCCCTCCCCCCCCCCCGCCGCTCTTTGTCTCCTAGTTCTCTCATTGCTCTTCCTCAGGGTTCTTTGCTTTCTCCCTCCCCGCGATAATAGTGAGGGAGGGGAAGGAGAATACTCTGCGCCTGCGCACTAGCCCCAAGCCACGCGCGGCCCGCAGGGAGGAGCGGCGGTAGAGGGAGGGGCGCGTGCCTGTGAAAAGGCGGGAAACAGGCGACGCTCGAGGCTCGCGCATGCGCACACAGTCAACTGCGTCTCGGGCGCCTGAGGGGAAGCGGCCTGGTCTGTGGCGGCGCTGTGGAGAGGGCGTCCCTCGAGCCTGGGTTCTGGAGGCCTGAAGAAACAGCTCTTCATCGTCAGCGCCGGAAAAAGCAGAACTGGGACCTTCTTTCCCTCCTGACCCTCCTCCCCGCCCTCGCAATGCCGGCGAGCAGCCCTGAGAGACTCCCGTTCCGACTTCTCCTCCGCCCTCAGAGACGCAGCCCTTCCGGGAGGACAGGCCTCGGCGAGAGCAGCATGGCGGCCTGCGGACTCGCCCGACTGGGCTGCCCTGTTTGCCCTCAGGCCGCTTCAACGAGGGACCCCTCTGTCCGCGGATGGAACTTGCGCGCCTGCCTTCTGCATGGCGGGCTTCTGAGCCCAGGGAAGGAGGGTCGGGGCCTGAGCGGGAGCTGAGCCTGCACCGCCGGGCCCCTGCCCGCTTCGGAGGAGGGGAGGGAGAGCTGGCGGCCGCCGAGTCCTGGCCCGTCCCCCCCTCCGCTGCCCCCTCCATCCAGCCCCGACCTTGCCCGGACTTTGGCGGACCCCACAGCCCCTCTCGCAGGCTCCCTTCCTGAGAACACCCCCAAGGCCATGAGCCTGGCTGGCCTGCGACTCCCCTGGGGGGCAGCCTGGCCGGGGAGCGGTGTCTTCCTGGGAGCTCAGGATCCTAAGTCAGGACGGAACCCCCGAGGGTAAGGGTTCGCGTCAGCCTGTGTCGCCAGTGCCTGTGGCGGTGTCTGCACAGGGCTGTGCTGGGTGGTTTGGGGACGGATGGGTGGATACTGGCAGGAGGGCAGCTTCCCTGGTTTCCTGGACCCCAGCCCGGAGCCCTTGCCCACTTCTGTGTGATTGCCCCCCAATCCTCCGTGGGGGGCAGCCTGTTGCAGGGGAATAAATCCCACCCTGGCTTGGGTCCTGGCTGGGCCTCAGGCACAGCCTTCTCTTCTCTAGGCGTCAGCTTCCTCATCCGTCACTGGGGCTGGGGCTCTTTGTCTGGCAGGACTGGGGAGGGATCACCCGGGCTAACTGACATACCGGTGGTCCTTAGTACCCCTGACTGAATGAATGACTGTCCTGGGAGGCTCCCTGTCCCCCAGGCTCACACTCACTCGTGTGTCGGTAGTGTCTGTGCTTCTTGCTAGGGCTGTTCCTCCCAGGTGCTGATGTCCCACCATATCCTGACATCACTCCATAACCAGACTTCCCCTTGAAGATGAGCTTCGTTTCCTGGGCCACTGTACTGTCCCACCCCTCGTGGCTAGCAAATCGGTCCCTAACAGAGACCCCTAATCTGATTCTGAATCCGGATCTGCGACGCACTCAAAGCATGTCTTCCTCTCTGAGCCTGGTTGCTGTGAGGACAGTTCCTTCAGTTCTGACAGAAATCCCCACTCCATGAAAGATCCCTGCTGGGATTTGGCTCCCTGGGCTGGAGCTGTTGGCTGGGCTGTAGGGTCTGACTGTCCTGGTGTCTCTTGGGACATAGATTCAATCTGGGCAGGTGGTCCATTTTGGGGTCCATGTCTAGGCTGGTCTGGAGGTGTTGATCCAGCTTCTTGCTGAGCTAGAAGTGGCTCTCCTGGGCCAGATCCTGTCTGGGCTGCACATCCCTGTCTCAAGTGTGGTTCCTGTTGACTTCTAGATTCTATTCTTGGCCCAGGTCTCCGCTGCAAGGCAGCTTCCTGTTGAGTGAGGGGCATCCTTGGGTGGGAGGTGATTGCTGTGGTGCAGGCTCCTGTGCGGCAAGAAATTCCTGCAGCAAAGCATTTTTTTTTGTTGGGTTTTGGCTCCTGCTGGGATTCAGCTTCATGTTCAACAAGGGGCTCCTGCTGAGTGAGGGGTCTTTGCTGTGAGGCAGGCTCCTGTTGGGTGTTGGGTTCCTGCTGAGTCTTAGATGCTGTCAGGGCTGTAGATGCCTTTTCTGGCCCAGGTTCTGGCTGGGTGATTGGTGTCTGGTGTGGCTCAGGTTCCTGGTCAGGCCTAGATTTGGACTTAGAACCTGGCTCCACTGTGTTATTTCCCTCACAGGAGATGTTGATCTCCCAGGATTCATCCTTCTACCCCTCCTCCCCGGCGCCTCCCTACTCACAGATCCCTCATTGGTTCCTCATGATGGCATCTCCCTTTGGGTTCCACTCCTTCATCCTGACATCCCTGGTCTTCCTTTTTAAGGCAGTTGGCAAGTGGGCCGACCACTCCTGGCCCCCACTCCTGTGCCAAGTGATGCACTTGTGTGCCTCCTGCTGTGGGAGGAGGGATTAGGAACAGGAGGCTGTGTGCACGGCACTCCCCTACCAGAGGGGAGGGGCTTGTCCTCTTGTGTCTTAAATAGGGCCCTGCCCCACTCACCACTCAGGTAAAAGGCTTTTTCTCCTAAGGGAAGCATGCCAGCTTAGTCCTGTTTCATCTGGGGTGACAGAATTCAGATTCTGGATGAGTGTTCCTTTTTTTTTCTCCCCTTCTGATGTTGAAGAAAGGGTCCTAGGGGGAGGCAGTCTCTATACTGTTGTAGCAGTCTTTTCTTCTTTATTCGTTCTTTCAAATGCTGGCCAGTTTAATTTCCATATATTACTATTATTTTTTTTTGTTGAGGAAGATTGGCCCTAAGCTAACATCTGTGCCAGTCTTCCTCTATTTTGTATGTGGGACGCCTGGCACAGCATGGCTTGATGAGTGGTGTGTAGGTTCGCACCCGGGACCCGAAACTGTGAACCTCAGGCCATGGAAGGGGAGTGCATGAACCCAACCACTACACCACTGGGCCGGCCCCTAATAATCATTCACTACCATGTTGAAAAATAATGATGTCCCCCCACTTTTACAGCTTGAAGCTTTTTTCAGTGGCATTTGAGATCTTCCACACCATCTCTCTAGCCTTGAAGTATGGTTCTGCAAATATATCTTCTGTGCTACATTGGGAACTCACAGAGTACAGTGACCATTGATGATGATGAGGAGGAGGAGGATGATAATAATCATAAATACCAAAGGCATTCTACATGCTAGGAAACTGTGCCAAGTTGTTGTTTTTCTTAAACCTATATTATCTTTAATAAGACCACGTCTGATTCGTTGCTCTACCTGCTTTCTTTGCCCCACCTAGCTCTTATCCTGGAAAGATTTATTGAATGAGTGAAAGAATAAATAGTTGGGCAGTAGAGGGAGAGGGAGTGAGGGTGGTGGTGGGGAGAAGTGTGTGTAGAATCTGGGGAGGGTTTGGAGTAGACAGGGTAAAGTGGATCATTGGGATCATCTGTATTGAATTGCCAGACCCCATTTGACAGAAAAGATTTTGACTGTTTACATTTGAAAATTTTTATTGACTTCTGTTTGCTACTTGCCTGGTTGTATTTTAGGTCAGTTGGGACTAGTTAGGAAACTAGGGTTTCCTGGTTTCTTTCAGGTAGTTAAGCTTAAGCCTTGGTAAGGGGAGGGCACAGGAAAGACTGAGGAGAGAAGGAGGCACTAGAGGCAGCAATAACCTTGAGAAAATGCTTTTTGAGGCCACTAGAGTGGAGACAGGGAGGGCGAGCTTGAGGTGGGAGAAGAGCATCCTCTAGGTGCGCTCACTGCCTCTTGACTGAGAATGTTTCGTTGGGAGAGTGGGCTCTCAGAGCTCCTACAAAGGCAGAGCAAGGCTTGCTAGCTGACATCGTTTGAGAAATTGCTGGCAGGCTCTGGAGCGCTTGTTTGGCTTCCTGTGGTGCCTTCGGTGCCCTAGTGAAAATAAAGGGGAGAGACTAGTGTTGAAAATATTTAAAAATTTTAATTTTTATGAGAACTTTTAAAATTATAAAAGTAAGACTTGTCCAGTGGAAAAAATTAAAATTAAAAAAATCCGGTAAGAAGTAAAAGGACATTTGCCCTCCCCACCCTTCACTCCCCATTCCCCAGAGCTAACCCCTGTTAATAGTTTGCTGCTACATAGTCTTCCGTAGCTTTTTGTATATAAACATAATAGTTTACTTTAAAAAACAAAAATGAGATTATACTATACTTATTGCTTTGCTCTGCTCTTTAACAAATCTTTTATTATTGCAAAATATTATACATCTGTAGAGGTCCATAAAAACTCATATGTGCAGTTTAATAAATAGTTATAAAGCAGATATTCATGAAACTACTACTGAGGCCTAGAAATAGGCTATTGCCAGCAACCCCCCTCCTTTTCTGATCATTATCCTCCCTCTCCCCCTCACAGAGGTAATCCTGACTCTTATGGTAAGCATTTACTTTCTTTGTTATTTTACCACTTATTTATGTTTTACTAAATGTTAGTTTAATTTTGCCTGTTTTCGAACTTTATGAAATCATACTATAGCTATTTTCTCATGTCTTTTTTTTTTTGAAGATTGGCACCTGAGCTAACATCTTTTACCAATCTTTTTTTTTTCTTCTTCTTCTTCTTCTCCCAAAATCCCCCAGTACATAATTGTATATTCTAGTTGTAGGTCTTTCTGGTTGTGCCACGTGGGACACTGCCTCAGTGTGGCCTGATGAGCGGTGCCATGTCTGCACCCAGGATCTGAACCAGTGAAACCCTGGGCCGCTGAAGTGGAGCACGCGAACTTAACCACTTGGCCACAGGGCCAGCCCCTCATGTCTTGTTTTTTTTTAACTCATCATTATGTTTGTAAGATTCATTTACATTATTATGTGTTTGTTAATTCTCCCTGATTTATAATATTCAAATGCACCACCATTTATTTATTCATTCCTCACTTTTCAGTTTGGGGTAGTTATGAGCAATGCTGCTATGAAATTTTTGTACGTGTCTCCTGGTGTATATAAGCCTGCATTACTTTTGAGTATATATCTAAGAGTGGAATTGCTTGGTCACAGAGCTTAAACTTTAGTAGATAACTGCCAGCACTTTTTCAAAGTAATTCACCAATTTACACTCCCATTAGGAGGTTATGAGACTTTCTCTGTCCTATTCTTTGTCAACACTTGATATTGTCAGACTTTAAAATTTTTGCCAATCTGATGATGTGTAGTGATATCTGTTTGGTTTTAATTCGCATTTTCCCACTTATAGTAAGGTTGAGTGCCATTTCATATGTTGATTAGCTACTTGGATTTCCTTGTCTCCAAAGTGCCTATTGAAGTCTTTTGCCTATTGTCTGTTGTGTTGCCTGCCTTCCTTTCATTGATCTCTAGGAATTCTTTCTGTATTCTCAATATTAATCCTTTGTCAGTTATATATGTTGCAGATATCATCTCCTACTTTTAGATTGTCATTCTTTTGATGACCAAAATTTCTTAATTTAGATGGAGTCAGATTTATTAATAGTTTCTTTTATGGCTTTTACTTTTTGTATCTTATCTAAGAAATCCTTTCATACCCAAGGTCATGAATATATTCTATATTCCCTTATAAATTTATCTTTCAAATTTAGATCTTTAATCTCTCTGAAATTTATTTTTGTGAAGAGTGTGAAGTAGGGGTCTCTGCATCTTTTTTTTTTTTTAAAGATTTTATTTTTTTCCTTTTTCTCCCCAAAGCCCCCCGGTACATAGTTGTATATTCTTTGTTGTGGGTCCTTCTAGTTGTGGCATGTGGGATGCTGCCTCAGCGTGGTTTGATGCGCAGTGTCATGTCCGCGCCCAGGATTCGAACCAACGAAACACTGGGCCGCCTGCAGCGGAGCGCGCGAACTTAACCGCTCGGCCACGGGGCCAGCCCCTCTCTGCATCTTTTTATCACGTAATATATTGTGGGTATCTTTCTGATCAACACATAATGATTTACCTCATTGTTTTTGACAGCTGTACAATTGCCCAATTTGCTTTTGGTGAAAAGTCTTTTATTTCTATTTATTTGTCAATACAAATACTTCTATAATTAATATTCTTGTACATATATCTGTGAGTATCCATGCTAGTATTTTATACCAGCGATTTCTTCAAGTGAGATTACTGGGTTGAAAGGTGCACACATTTAAATTTTTGATAGGTACTACCAAATTGTATTTTACTTCCATTACCAGTGATAAGGATCCTGATTTATCCCATTCTTGATAATATCTATAAATCAGTTTAATATTTGCCAGTTTACTTTCTATATGACATTTGAAAACTGCTGGACTAGGGAGGAATGAAATTCTGTTTGACGCTGACACTGGTGTCATCTTCAGAGATAAATGACCAGGTCCCCAACAGCCCCATCTCCCTCCACTTTGATAAGCAATGCTGTTCTAAAATCTAAGCATTTGCTTAACCCTTTCTAGTATTAGGAGAATTGTGTCCTGCTTTTCTTCCTTTTCCTATTTCCCCACAAATTGACATTGAGTAGAAGGGGCTGAGATGTGTGCTTATCCTGGTCTTCATTTCACCTCTCTTGTCTATTCTCAACCCCTGTTTCATCCCTGTGCTTCACTCCACACAGGGACTCTGTTTTAGGAAGGTCATTCTTTTGAAACTTACTGGTTTTCTTCACATTGCCCTTGAAATGATCACAGGGACACTGCTTCTGTGGCAGCCCAGGCACCGTCATGAGTTTTCTTTTAGGGGCTCTCAGGAGCCAATCTGAAATAATGAGATTATTGCTTAGATGGGAGTGTTAGTATATTTGCGAGTAGAGAGTAGGGCAGGGCTTCACTTGCCATCTTCCTTGCCTTCTTGTTCCTGTTTCCTACTGCAGTGGGGTGGGGAAAAGAGTCAACACAGAGCAGTGGAGGTATCCAGTTATGGGAGTCCCAGGACTTCTGAGTTGTTTTGCCTGAGCTGTATTGGCAAGAATTTGGTGGCAGGTTTGGAGGGGGCATCAGGATATGATTAGGGAGACCAGAAGATGAGGAATAAGATCTAGGTGTCTGCCTTTAGTGGCTGCTTACCTCGGGCAAGCATTTTGCCTCTCTGATTTCAGTCTCACCTGTGAGTAAAATAAGGTTGAGGATAAGATCCAGGAAGCTTTTGGAAGGCAGTCCTGAGTTCTTGGAGGAAAGGGTCTGGGGGAGGGGGCAGCCAGAGATGCAGCCAGGTCTCCCTTGACCTTGGAGGAGTCCAGCTCTTGCCTGAGACTCAGGAAGGAAGCAAGCATTGGTGTTGCATGTGGTGGGCTGGTGGAGAGGCGAATGAGTGAGATCAGCTCAGATAACATCTCACCTGGTCTCAGAGGGAGTCAGGGGAGAGAGTTGGGATCATGATAGTGCATTGCTGTTGTTGATGCTGAGTTACTGACCTTTGCACTCACATTCTTGGCCACCTGCCTGGAGCCATCTCCCAGAAGCCTGGTGTCGGTCCCTGTGGCCTTTGGCGACCCCTGTGGGAAGGAAACAGATCACTTCCAGGCACTGGAAAGGGAAAGGGCCAACAGAAATGGTCCCCCAGCTTTGGGCTACCCAGGTCAATGCAGTTCCATTTCTCTTCCTTTTTTGCTCAGGGATCTGGGGTACTTAAAGAGAGGAGTATTTTAAATGGATAAGGAATTGAGGTTTAAATCCGGCCTAGAGAAAAGCTTAGCTGGAGGTAGGTGGAGAAAGAATGGCTTAGGGATGGAAAAGAGGACAAAAGGTGGGGATCAGTCAAGACTTTACACCGCCCTCCCTTCCCCAACACACACATTAAAATCCTCATGATTTAAGGAATGAGAGCAGGGAGCAGATTATCCCATAAACCAGTCAGGGTCTTCACCTGACCTCCAAGTTTGCTTTGTTTGAATCCATAATCTCAGTTCAAGTATAAGAGGATGGTATTTAGCTTTGTTCCTCTGGGACAAATCCATTCCTCTTTTGGCCTCTATTCAAGTCTGTCATATCACCTAATGCTGTCTTATTCCCATTTTAGGATACCTAAAATATTTTATGACAATCAAGGATGGTGGTATATAGACTTGAGATTCTGGAGGTAGAATGGGGCCCAGATGATGCTTCCTCTGTATAGTAGTTTCTGATATTCCCTGTCAGCCTTCACGTGGTTCCTCATTGTATTTGAATGCAGCTCTGTTATTGCACAGTTAGAGTTTGTTGCTTGAAATCTGTTGTGGACTGAATTGCGTCCCCCCAAAATTCATGTTGAAGCCCAGTACCTCAGAATGACAGTATTTGGAGACAGGAGCTTTAAAGAGATGATTGAGTTAAAATGAGGCTGTTATTGTGGGCCCTGGTCCAGTCTGACCAGAGTCCTTATAAGAAGAAGAGATTTGGACACACAAAGAGACACCAGGGACACCAGGGACATACGTGGACAGAGGAAAGACCATGTGAGGGTATAGCAAGAAGGTGGCCATCTGCAAGCCAAGGAGAGAGGCCTCAGAAGAAATCAAATTTACCAACACCTTTATTTTGGACATCTGGCCTCCAGAACTGTGAGAAAATAAATTTCTGTTGTTTAAGCCACCTAGCCTTTGGTATTTTGTTATGGCAGCCTTGGCAAATGAAAAATCTTTCTCTCTCTTTAGACTCTGAATCAGTGGCTCAGTAGTCATTCAGCTCCATGGTTCCCGACCCATGGTAGGCACTTGGTAAATGTTTGTTCAATAAGTGTGTGGACAAGTTGTCTAGAGAGGGCCCTCAGAGATCATCTGGTTCAATCCAGGTCTCCTATTTCCCAGACTCGTGCCCTTTCTACCACACAGATGGAGGGTGTTGCATCATTTCCCTGAGAGCTGGTTTCCAAATGTTCTCTTGTGCTGTTTTGAGTGCTGTTAAAGTAATTTAAGCAGACATCCGTAGCCCCTGCCATCCCAACTGTTCTAATAGTTCACTCTCACCTGACCTCTACTCCTAGTTCCAGAGGAAAGCCACAGAATGTTAGAGCCAGAAGGAATCTTGGATATTGTTTAGTTGAATCCCTTCATTGAGAAGTTTTTTTCATTTTAAATGTAATATAATTATATTAGGGAAAATTTGGAAAGTACAAATAAAGAAATCTTTACTCTTACTAACTGTTGGTATTTTGGCATGTTTCTTGCACATTGCTTTCTGTATATAGTGATAACCATAGCATGTGACCAATTTTCTTTTTGTTCATTTTATAAACTTGTTGCTATGTCGTCTTCATTACAGACATTTTTAATGACTGCAAAACACTCCCATCAAGTATTTGTGCTCCATATTATTTAACTTTTCTCCCATTGCTGAACATTTAGATTGTTTTACTTTTGCATATTGATAAATTTCTTTGTGCTTGTAACTGTTTTCCAAATGTTGGATTAATTGTCTTGGGCAAGATTTCCCAAAGTGGAATTAGTGGGTCAAAAGTTAACAGCTTTGTGTTTCTTGATATCATTACCAAATTGCTTTTAAAAGGGTTTTACTAGTTAACTAAATCAGTATCTCTTTTTTTACGGATGGGGAAACTGATGCCCAGAAAGAGCAAATGAAATGCTCTAGTTCACAAGGGTAGTGGTGACACATCTGGAGCTAAAACCCAGGTCTTAGATTCTTAGTCTGTTTTTCTTTCTGCAGTTCTGATAACTGACAATGAAGCTTCAGGTTACTATAGTCTAATGTCTCCCAACCCTCAGACATTTATGGACACCTTTATGACTTTTGCTATAGCTTGTACCACCTTTACTATTATTTAGTTCATACTTTTTCTTTAATAAATTTAATTTACAAAACAGCCTCATCATATGCAATATTATCTGCGAGATTCAGATTTGATATATGCTTAGTTTTTTTCTAATATGCATTCAAATAAACATATAAGTATTAAAGTAAAAGCTAATTTATGTTCTACCTAAAATCAAACTTGGAAGATACTGATAGAGTGGAAGAAGCATGGATGTTGTATGTAGACAGACTTGGGCTCAACTACTTGTTCTGTCACTTAACTCTGTAGTCTTGGACAAGTCACTTAACTTCTTTGATCTTTGATTCTCTGATTTGTAAAATGAGGATAATAGTATCCACCTTGCAGAGTTAGGAATTAATGAGCTACTGTGGGTGCCCGGTGCTTAATGCCCAAGTAGGTGTTCAGTACCTGATGGTTACTGTGGTTATTTTTGTGGACTTCTAGTTTTTTCCCAAAGAGACTGTCTGTGCTGAAATGTTAGGCTTGTTGCTTTCTACTGACTTGTATGTGTAAAGAAGTTACTTCCACTTGTTGGGACTTGCAGTAGATCCAATCACTACTTTGACTTCCCAGTTCCACTACATATTAGCTTTGTGATTTTGGACAAGTTGCTTAACTTTTCTGTGCCTCATTTACCTAATTTGTAAAATGGGTCTAATAATGGCACATTGGTGTGTGTATGAACACATCTGTTTCCTAGCTCTGTCCACTAGAGAGCTTAGATGCAATGCCAGCCAGAGCAATGGGCAATACCTAGTGCTATGGTTTGTGAATACCATCCTCCCATGAAAGGAATCAGGGTTCCTTGGAGAATGGCTGATTCTAGGGCTGAGGCAGGAAATTTTATACAAGATGAGCCTGAAACATCTTGTGGTGTCAGAAAGTCAGGAACTGCTAAACAAATGATATGCAAGAAGACACAGAAGCCAACGTGAAGGAACTCTCGATGGCCAATTTTGGGGCAACATGAGCAACACAATAAATAATGATAGCAATGGATTATAATCCACAAATATTCATGAGTCTTTACTTATGTAAATAAATAATTGAATAAATAAGTAAGTAGGAGACAAGGAACAACTCTTTCTTAGAAAAGAATCCCAACTAATGAATGCAGAAGGAATGATGGAAATAGAAAATCATCATTTGGCTAATACCATAGTAATACTTGTTGTAGGCAAGACTCTCCAATGAATTTAAAAAGTAATGGGCAAAAGTATGATGAGAAGAAACAGGCTATTTGCATAGTCTCAGAGTATCGCTCTACAAGATACTTATTAATTACAATGGGAAAAATAGTAATTTTACAGTAGAGAAACCTGGCAGACAGCACTTAACCAAGTGTTCAAAGTTAACATCACTGGTAATGAGAGTTATTGATATCATGGGTTTTCTGATGGCATGCTCCAAGAAGGCACACATCACTTCTGTGGTATTTTTGCCAAAAATGTATAATCTGAACTTAGTCATGAGGAAACATCAGACAAAACCAAATTGAGGGACATTCTACAAAATAACTGACTAGTACTCTTCAAAAGTGTCAAGGTGATGAAAGACAAGAAGGCTGAGAAACTACCCTAGATTGGAGGAGACCAAGGAGACATGATAACTTTATTCAGTGTAGGATCCTGGATTGGATTCTGGACCAGAGAAAGGACATTAATGGGATGATCAGCAATATGTGAATATTTGTGCATTAGTTAATAGTATTGTATCAATCCTAATTTCCTGTTTTGATAATCGTATTCTGATTATGTAAGATGTTATTTGAAAAAACTGAATGAAGGATATGTTGGAACTCTGATTATATTACAACATTTTTTAAGTTTGTAAAATGAAAAGCTAAAAATAGAAGAATACATTAGATTTCTGTGAGGACAGAATGAGGTAATATGCATGAAGTGCTTAGAACAATACCTGCCACATAGGATAGCTTAACACGTCAGCTATTATTATAAGTAATCTTATAATTAATAAGTAATATTATAAGGAGTAATCTATTATTATAAGTAATTTGTTTCCTAATGTTCTCGTATATTCTCATCTATTTTTTCCCCTCTCTCCGGTGAAAAGCATATTGAGCATGTATGTAGTTATTTTAAGAGATAAAATTAGATCCGATTTTATTTTGGGGGTAGGTAGGGGGTGTCATTTCCTCTAGCCAGACTTCCTCAGGTGTTGCAGGAATTGAGCCAGCACCTCCCATCCCATGTGGTTTGTAATCGCACCACTCGGTGGCGCAGCACACTTTCCCTAGTCCATTGCCCTTGCGCTCTAGGAGCTACTTAGAAATTCTACTTAGTCCATTTATTGAAGCCTTACTAGGTGCACATCATAGATCATTTAATCTTCACACAATTGTATGTGCTAAGTGGTATTTTATTCATTTTAAGACGATGAAACTGAGGATCCAAAAAGTTAAACAACTTTCCCAGGGTTGTAAAGTAAGAGGCAGAGCCAGGATCTGGATCTCAGTTCCCCTGACTTCGAGGCTGAGTCTAAAGGTCTAGGTAAGTCTAAGTGTTTAGCCAGGTTTGAGAACTGTTGATATGGAGCAGTGGTTGTCAACTGGGGAGTGGTTCCCTCTCCAGGGGACATTTGACAACGTCTGGAGGTATTTTTGGTTCTCTTAACTGGGGGTAGGGGTGTGGAGAGGCTGCTACTGGCATCCAGTGGGTAGAGGTCACATGGTTGCAGCTAAACATCTTACCATGCACAGAACAGCACCCTACAACAAAGAATTATCCAGCCCCAAGTAAAGCTGCTGTTAAAGCCAGGTGTAGTGTTTTCCAAGGGCAACATTTTGAACTTAGTAACATGAGGATTTGTTCTTTCACTTAGCAAATATTTACTGAGTGCTGTGCTGGATAATGTGAGGGATATGGAAACAATACACCAGATTGTGCCACCAAGGAGATTACAGTGTAGAAGGGCAGGGGGTGGAGTTAGGAGAGGCACGGCAACACCTTCAGTCTAAGGCAGAATATGATAAGTGCAGAGAAAGAGTCAAGCTAGGGCTAAGCTTGTTCACTAGAAGGAAAGCTCACATATGGTCATGGGAGGAATCAAGGGAGGCTGTGGGGAGGAGGTGGTCTTTGAGCTGGGTGTATGAACAAAGTAGAGGTGGTGGGAAAGCACAAGACCTGTTCAGAGAATAGCCAACAGTCTGGTTTAGGTGGAATGTAGAGAGCACTGATTAGTGAGTGGAGGGGGTGGACTGGAAAGACAGATTGTGGTTAGAACTTTGAATCCAGGCTGAGGACTCTAGCCTTGGTGTCTGTCATAGTAATAGAACAGCCTTCCCTTCCAGAAGGGTGGTCTAGGTCCTAGGGCTGTGGGGCCCAGCAGCTTCCAGAGAGCTCTCTCTACAAGGAAGGGGAAGTTTGAAATTGGGGTGGAGTATGGTGAACTTCTGATTTTAAGCACCAGGTTGATGGTGAGTATGTGACAAAGCTGTTTCACCTCATAGTAGCCCTTGGGCAGATGGTTCTGTCAAGTAGAACCATACATGGGGATGAGCTCTTCTGCATGGTGATTCTGCTAAGGGCTGGGCCACTTGAGCTGTAGTGAAACTGGAGGCCATTCAACACCCCTAACCCAAGATCTGTTTCCCAAAATGTGAGCTATTACAACTGAGCTTGGTATGGCTAAAGCTTCAAATATGGATACTATCTGGTGATAGAATTTTTCTAGTTTGTTACTTCATCATTAAATAGTGTTAAAAGTTGTTGGTGGCATGTCTGGTGCACTATAAGTAATATAAGCAAGGACTTATCTTCTACAATGGGACAATTGCCTTCCACACCTTTACACCACCACCACCATGAAGGTTGGCCTGGGGGATATTCATTACTTTTCTGGAAGAGAGACTAGGGGGAAGGTAAGGGAGCAAATATTTGTTGGGCTAGTATTTTATTTTTGCCAGCTACAGTTTCAAACATTTTCATATACACCATCTCATTTAACTCTCACAACACTTTGGTGTTAGTACAGTTTTTTCCTTTTTGTAAATGAGGAAACGAACCCTGATAGGCTAACTTGTCCTGAATCCCTGTAGCTAAAAGGGGTTACATTTCAATCCATGTTTTTTCCATGTTTTCTCCCCCTTGCTCCCTTTTGTAGAAAATTTATCTCACTTACCTGGATTTGGGCTGCTAGAGACCACAGACATCAGCATTAGGGGCAGCAACAGAAGGAGGGAAGAGACTAGAACTTTCATGGTGACTGTTGGTGCTGCTCTAAGTCGCTTGAAGAGGGTGTGGAAGGTTCCCGGGTTGAGGCTGCCCACTTCTTGGGATGGCTCAGACCTGAATACTTGGCTTGGCAGTCTGCACTTTAATCCCAGGCCAGTGTTCCCATTAGAGGGGAGAAAAGAGAAGTGACGCTGGCCTTATTAGATAACAGGTTGGACCATGTGCTTTACAGGAATCTGGAAGGTGAAACTGACCAAACAACAGAGGTGAAGCATTCTTAAGAACATAAGAAGGTGACTGATAACCTGGCAGCAATACTTGTTTCCTCCCCTCCTTCTTCCCGCCTCCCTAACCCCCAATGTATTGTGGTTTCTTCCCCAAATCTTTTTCTCGTTTGAATTTCCTTATGCCTTTCAGTGACACCTTCTAGCTTAATATCTGGCCAGAAAGTGAGTATAAGCATTGGCAGAAGAGAGGATGACATGGTCTGTTTTTGCTCTGTCCTCCCCACTCCCATCCTTGGCAGGGTATTGGCAATAGTAGTGTTGTTGTTTGGGAAGTGACCCTGTCCTCATTGTAGACAATTTCCTCCAATTCTGTGGCCACATGAGGTGGGAATCAGAGAGGATCAAGGAGGAGAGGCTGTTCTCTCTTGCCCAAAACACTGCCCCTGGAGCAGTGGGTCGCACAAGGCCTCCTTGTTCATCAGGAAGGTGGCTGTGGCTTAGTTGCTCCAGCCTATAGGACAGGGAACTGGGTTGGTGGAAGATCTCCAGTGCTTCAGGTCCAACAAGTAGGAGCCACATGAGGGAAGGAGCCTTTTATGGTGTTTGCCCAGCCTGCTGGGCTCTTGGCTCCAGACCCTGTTTGGAAACAGCCCAAGGTAAAAGAAGGAGGTAATACGACTTGGAGTGCCCATTAAGGTCACAGAACATCAGCACTTCCTAAACCTGACTCCTAGTCCAGAGACTTTAGGAAACAAGCTCAAAGGAAGAGGAGAGGTGGGCTTGAGTGCTGGGTGATATTTGTGGGGACCGAGGGCATGGGTAACAAGGAGGTCCTCCCCAGCAGCCTGCAGGCAGGAGTGAGAACAGGTGGTGTGACTTTGTTTCACCTAAGAGGGGGGAAGAGGCAAGGCATGAATCATGCCCTTTTTGATTTTTGTTTGATCCTTCTTACCCTCTCAATTTTCACGTTATCCCTGCCTGTTGTCAGGTTGGGAGGTGATTGTAGACTTTGCTACCACAAAGTTTGTAAAGCATGCAGGGGGCCAGGCACTGTGTTCAACAGTGGAGATTGTCCTCGAGTTGAAGGCTTGGGCTTGGTCTGAGCTTGATCTGATACCAATCAATAATGTGGCTTCTTTCTGGAAAATCTAACAATGTACTCTGTCCTTAGGAGGCTCAAGAGTAACAGGGGAGATGACATACTTTTCATAAAATCTTGAGATATAAGTGGAACCAAATTTCAGAAGTGACAGGAGTTCACCATGGAGTCAGAGTAGCTCAAGGGTCTCTGGGTCAGTGCAACTTGGGCTGGGACTTGCTGGTGGGGTAGGTTTGGGTTGGTGGAGGGCAGATGAGAGGGCCATGCAGAGAAGGAGCATGGAGCTAGTTGGGGGGATCTTTGATGGCAGGGGCTGGCTTTTGTTCTTTTTGTGTTCCTGAACTTACATAGGGCCTGGCACTTGGGGAGTACTCTAAATGTTTGTTGAATGGAATGATGTTTTTGTAACACTTTAACTAGGCCTGATGTGTTAGAAAGCATGAGGAAGTGCATTCCTTTAACAGAAAGAAGATTTTACTGGTAAATGATCACGCATACACATGGAACCTGATGGAGGTGCTTTACTTGTCCCATTTGAGTTGCCATCAGTCCCCTCCGGGGCTGCTCAGGACCAGGGAGCTCCTCCTCAGACTTTCTCCAGGTGCTGCAGTCTGTTTACTCCTCTGCTCTCCCCAGGTCCCTGCTCCCAGTCTGTTTCCTTTGTCTGGTTTTCCCCTCCATGGGCTTGGGGTGGGGTGTCGGGTTCTGTGTATCATGGGTGGGGACTTTGGGTCTCTCAGGTCCATTGATATAATACAGCTCCAAGACAAACAGACTTTTCTCTTGTTAATATTGACAAATACTTAGAGCCCATTTCCAGAACATTATTTGTGCCAGCACAGTCTCTCTGAATTACAAGGACTCTCCATCCAGGAAGGAGGTAAGGGGAAAGAGGGGAGAAAATATTATTCGGCCAGTTATTTTATTTCCCCACTCTACAGTGTACTTAGCAGACATTCAGAAATATTTGTTGATCGATTCCATGATTTATATTGCTCTAATAATCATTTATTCATACATGCATTCAGTGAACATTTGGGCATCTAAGGTGTGCCTGGTATTTGCCAAGTGGTGGCTCCTGAGAGGAGCAAGGGGTGATGCTGCTTCTGAGGAGCTCTCACTATACACATAGACCCATGGAAATCTAGTCCAACTGCTCATTTTACAGAAGTGGAGATGAAAGTGTAGGAAGTTACATGATTTGTTCAACATCACACAGTCAGTTAGCCTCAAAGCCACAGGACTAAAAGTCAAGTTTCCTGACTTGCTAGAATTTCTGTTAGTGTGCAGCTGCCTGGCTGTTGCATGTGCACATGTGGTGAGCGCTAATAGAGAGAGGACATGCAGAATGAAATGGGAGCCTCCAACACCTTGGATTAGCCAGAAGGAAATGTCCAATCCAACCATGACTGCAAAAGGACCATCTGGACATTTGCATTCTCTCTCTCTTTTTTTTCACTTTAAGCTTGACATGAGGAAAATTGTGTACAGAAAACCAAAAGTGGAAGATTTTCACAGGGTTGGTGAGATGGGCCAAAATAGTCTGTATTTACTTCTATCATGTTGTTCCTCACTGAATTGTAATGGGGTGGCTTTGCATTGAATTCCCCCACAACCTAGAGCTCAGTGAGGGCGGGGACCAGGTGTTCCTAAACCTCTCTATCTGGATGTGGGCAAGTCTGAGAGGGGAGGTTAGGATTAGGAAAAGGGCACAGATGAAGTGAAAATGAAAACGTTCTGTGTTTTGTTTTGTTTTTTCCTGTGAAGTGACAGAGTTAAGGTGAGTCTGAACAATTTGGAGAAGTGTCTCGAACTTTAATCTGCTTACGGATCACCTGAGGATCTTGTTTAAATACAGATCTGATTCCTCTGGTGGGGCCTGAGATTCTGCATTTCTCATAAGCTTTTGGACGATTCCTTGCTGCTGATTGGTGGACCACACTTTGAGTAGCAAAGGTTTAGAGGTCATTTAGAGATTCTTGCTTCACTTGATTTATGGATGAAGAGAAAATGAAGTCCAGAGAGAGAATGTGACTTGCCTGACATAGCCATGACTTTATCATGTAACTTTTTACGTTTAAACCCTACCTTCTGACTCTTAGTCCAGTTCTTGCTCCACTATATTATGTGGCCCCCTTTACTGTTGTTAGTGGCATCTCTGTAGCTTAGGAACCCAGAACTCCCATTTTCCCCCATCCCCTTTGGTCTTTGTTCAAAGGTGTCACTTTTTGTTTACTCCCTTATTCAAAACCTCCAGTGGCTCTTCTGTAACCACAAGATCAAGTTCAAATATCTCTGTCTGTTTTTCATGGCTGTACAACACAAGGTCCCACGTTAGCAAGCTTACCCAACTGCCCTGTGTCTTAACCCTGTCTTCTGCTGTGGCATCCCTACCCCTTCCTGTTGCCTAAACATGCTGTGTTCAGTCCTCTCTCAGTGGTACTGGTACTGGTGTGGGCTTTGAGGTTAGACATAGTTACTTTCTAATCTCAGATCCGCCACTGACCTAGGCAAGTTACTTCACCTTTCGAAGGACCCTTCTCTGAAATAACCCCATACGGTAGTTGAGAGGAATAAACAAAATAACATATGCAAACCCACTCTCATCCCTGAAATCCCCTTCAAAACTAGCATCTACAGTGGTGCGTGACACTTGGTTCCCTGTGCTTGTGTTTCTCCTTGTCTCTGTTTCCCTAAGATTCAACCATTCAAAGGCCTAACCTGCATCCTGCCTATTTCCCGAAAGCTTTCCCAGCCATTCCTGACCCAGTTGATCCCACCCTTCTGTAAATTATTTCACCCATGTGTTAGCATTTAATTATGTGCCATCCCTCTCAGTGAGACCCCATAGAGAGGCTTGAGGGATAATTGGCTGTGTAATAATTGAGGGATAATTGAGTTACTTCTTTGTAAGTACTCCGTGGGTGTTCAAGCTGCCTTCTCTTTTGTCAGATATTGACTAGCAGCAGCTCCTCCTGCACCAGCAGCACCAGGTCCTGGTAGTTTGTGGATACTTTAGGGCAAGTTCTCATCAGGGTCTTTCCTGCCTCTGGTTTTTGGTTAAATTGGTGTTTCTCTTTGCATGTTATCAGTTGGCTCCTCCAAGGGAGGGGCTGATGAAATCTCTGTGGTAACCCCAAGATAATAACACTAAGGAAGTCTTGCCCAGTATCATTGCTTCAACAGCCTGGTAACAGGAGATGTGTATACCTTCCTATTTCATGAAGTTTTCAACAGGGTCCTTACTCTTTTACTTCAGGAAGGGATTAATGACAAAAGACCAAGTGGGGAGGGCAAGGTTGTTTAAGGCAGTTCATGCATCTCTGACCTAGATTCTGTGAATTAGTCATTCAACTATACTCAAAAGTGTTTATGTTTGCCTGTGTGGTGGCATTTTTATATCACGTGGTCCATAATTCCCTGCCTCAGTGGCAATTAGGAGCTCATGTCAGGCTTATGACAAGAAAATTATATAGTGTGTGCTTTCACTGCGGCAAAAGTTTCTCTGAGGTCTGAAGAGAAAATAGACCAGGAAGGCTGGACACTTCACTGAGAGTCCTGCCTTCTCTTCTTATTGGACAGCGGTCAACTCACCCATCACTTTCTCAATCAGGGGATTTTTGGCCTTTCCTTTCCCCTACCATGGGTCCATGCTAAAGTCTGGATATATTTATCTATTCCTGGAACTGACTATTCTTTTAAAAAGAGAGGCCCAAGGAATGACATCCTCACTGATTTCCAGGACTCTAATCTTCGTTATTTAAGCTAGTGGTTTCCAACCCGGGTTGCTGGTTAGAATCACCTTCAGCGTATTTAAAACCTACCAATGCCTGTGCCTTATTTGCAGAGAGTTTGATTTGATTGGGCTATGGTGTGGCCAAGGCATTGGTAGTTTAAAAAAGCTTCCATGTAAAATAGTCATTTTACAGTGGAGAAACCTTAGCCAAGTGTTCAAAGTGAACATCACCAGTAAGGAGAGATATCGATATCATGGGCCTGATATGATGGACTGAGAAGGCACAGCATCCCTTCTGTGATATTCTTGCCAAAAGTGTATAACTTAAGTATAATCACGAGGAAATATTAGATAAGCCCAAACTGAGGGTCATTCTACAAAATAACTGGCCACTAATCTTAAAAAATATTAAGGTCACGTAGGTAAAATAAATTCTGAGGGACTGGCTCTGATTAAAGTGACTGAGGAGACAAAACAACTAAATGTGTTGTGTAATCCTAGATTGGGTCCTAGTTTAGACAAAGGACATTAGTGGGAAGGTTGATGGAATTTGAATAAAATCTGTATATTAATTCATTGCATTCTATCAATGATAATTTATTGATTTTGATAATTGTGCTGAGGTTATACATGGCATTAATATTTGGGGAAGTTGAGTGAAAGGTATATGGGAACTTTGACGATTTTTCAAACATTTTTGAATGTCTGAAATTGTGTTAAAGTGTAAAATTAAAAAAAAAAAAAGCAATGAAAAAAGCTTCCAGCTAATTAATGAGTTGCCAGAGTTGAGAACCACTTCCCTAAGTCATCTTGCCTAATACTGTCAGACTAATCTTCTGGAAAATGCTATTTCATCCCGTTCCTGACCTTCTCAAAGCGTTCCAGTGACTGCTATCATCTGCAGGATGAAGTTCCATTTCCTTAGGCTGCCATTCAAAGACCCTGTAGCGTGGCCCCAGTCTGCTCCCTTGATCTGTGTAGTAAGACCTGAACCTGCATTTTACTTTCTCATGTCTGAATTCATTCCAATTCTTTTCCTTCTTTCTATAATACCTTTGCCGTCTTGCTCAGCCTCCTGAATTATTCTTCTTTCTAAGGTCCATTTTAGATCCTGTCTCTTCATTGAAGCCTTTTATGAGCATTTCTGTTAGAAGCAATCATCTTTCTGTTCTTTAAATTCTGGTAGATAGGATGGTGTGGAATGAAAACATGATCTTTAGATTCAGAAATACATCAGTCTGAATCCTGGTTCCCTCTTTTCCCAGTTCTTGGATAAGGGACAAGTTATTTGACTTTTTGGAGTTTTGGTTTCTCATTTGCAAAATAGGGATGATAGTACCTACTTAAAAGGGTCACTGTGAGCATTAGATGAGGTGCAAACATTAAAAGTCCCCAGCACACAGTAGGTTCTATCCTCCTGTTTGTAGCTCTCTGGTCCCCAGAGGGATTCTGGGTGGTGCAAAGACTCTTGTTAAAATTTCCTGCAGAGCCTTTAAAAGATATTTGTGTCTGATCAAGATGACACTCATTTTTAAAATTTTATTCTTTTTATTGAGGTGACATTGGTTTATAACATTATATAAATTTCAAGTGTATATCATTATATTTTGATTTCTGTATAGATTACATCATGTTCACCACCCAAAGACTAATTATAATCCATCACCATACACATGTGCCTAATCACCCCTTTTGCCTTCCTCCCTCCCGCCTCTTCCCCTCTGGAAACCACCAATCTAGTCTCTGTCTCTATGTGATTGTTCGTTGTTTTTGTCTTTTACTTATGAGTGAGATCGTATGGTATTAGACTTTCTGCCTCTGACTTATCTCACTTAGCATAATACCCTCAAGGTCCATCCATGTTGTCACAAATGGCTGGATTTCACTGTTTCTTATGGCTGAGTAGTATTCCATTGTGTATACATACCACATCTTCTTTATCCATTCGTCCCTTGATGGGCACCTAGGGTGCCTCCAAGTCTTGGCTATTGTGAATAATACTGTGATGAACATAGGGGTGCATGTATCTTTACGCATTCGTGTTTTCATGTTTTTTGGATAAATACCCAGCAGTGGAATAGCTAGATCATATGGTAGTTCTATTCTTAATTTATTTTTGAATCTCCATACTGTTTTCTGTAGTG